TTTTGCGCCTAAGTGTCCATGCTTCCACTAAAATTTCACATACTTGAAACTTAAGAGTTTCCATCAGATATTGAGACAAAATAAGCATTCCAGGACACTATTTCTATCAAAATACAGCCCTAAATGAGTCCAATTTGTGGACTCATCAACACCCCAACATAAACTTTTGCTTGTCCTCAGGCAAACTAAAGTTCAGCTGTTCAAAAAGGGTGTCTCAAACAGTGCTACACAAGACTTAATCATGAACATACACAACAAGATTCAAATTACTTATGCAAAGATCAACTATGCACTTAAAGATTCAAGTTGTGACACACCTTTACCATAGATTCTCATGCTCGCAATACTTGCTACTTGTGCGAGTTCAAGCTCGACAAAAAGTATCTAAATGCCCTCACATGAAGAAAGATTCCATATTCATACACAGAGGTTAATCAATTCAAGATCAAGAATCAGATGCAATGCTCACACTCAAAACAAGAGGAACAGAATGCATGTTTTCACCCATAGGTTTGCCTTTATTTTCCAATCGACTTTTGATTCGGCTTACTCAAGATCAATAAGGTCTTTCTAAGGCTTGTAATGGGGATTAGTGCGAATGTATGGTCATTTAGGCTCAATGGCTCCTTCCTCGTGGGATGTGGTATTCTCAAGGCATTCACTTCTCCTCCTTTATCGATTTTTTTTCTAATGCTTCTAAGTCACCTGTTTATTCACCTTCATGGATTGCTTGGAAAACCGATTTCCTTCGTACCTTATTGCACATGTTTTTTTTAATTGAAGGGGTTTCCACTTATGCAATCCCATGGGTTAGGGGGGGACTTTTTCTTGCACTTCTTGACCTCTCATTTTTCTTTTTACCACACCCCAACTTATGCTTTTGGCCTAAGTTGGCTATTTACTAAATCACAAATTAAGAGGATTGTAGGTAGTGGATCAAGTAAGGTCTAGGGTTCATCAAAGTTCTTCCAAAGAAAGGTAAGGCTCAAAGGGTGTTCAAAAGAGTTTCCAACACTCACGGGTAGGCCACAAAAGAGGTATATGTCAAATTTGGCTCACACTCTTTAAAGTTGCCTAAGATCATTTCAAGAGGACAACTTTCTAAATCAATCAGACTAACATGGAAAATTCTAGGTTTATTCATGTATGGTTCAAATCAAGCTAATCACACAAGGGATCGACACTTAAGTCAAACAAATCTACATAATTTCAATTGTGTGCAATGGTCATAACAAGAGAATCAATTCGATAAATGGCTAATCACGACGAGTTCACATATTGTCTATCCAACTTCATTTGGCGTCATCATAGCCGTATATTCATGTCCGTTCAATTGAGAGTACTATTCAAGTCATCCATATTGATCAAAACCGAGACTTAAATTCTTGTAAAAGAACAGTCACATTCAACTCACGAGCGGAGGCAAAAATGTGCGAAAAATTCAAAAAATATTTGAATGGTCAAAATCATTTTGCAATTAAAAGTAAATGGAACCACGAGCTCAAACATCCATAAGAAAGCAGTTATTAACACAATTACGAACAGACAACCCAAATGTATTCAAAACACAAATCATAAATAGCATACAAAAGGTGAGCCTCACCCCACCACAAATAAAAAGCAATACGCCCTCAAATGCAAGTAATGAGAATTTAAGAGGCAAGATAAAGAAAGATAGAAAGGGAGGTAAAGAGGGGATCCTGGCTAATGGAGTTTGCTCCATCTATCATGGCATCAGTTAGTTTTTTTTCTTTTTTTCATTTGGCAATATTAGGTCTAATCGCCGAATATCTTGGTGATTCGCTGACTGAGCACTTGACTCGCCGAGTTTTATAGAATCTGCAGTCATTGTGAAGATCCAAATGGCGGTTTTCATCGAGATCTCCAAAATTGCCGGTGAACCACAGATAATCTTCAAATCTCGTCAAGTGTAACACACTTTAGTGTTTACGATGTTCTGAGTCAAACGACGGATAAAGTCGGATTCGTGACCCCTTCAGCGACTTGTCACAGGGGTTTATTGTTTGCCATCCTTCATTCATTTTAGTACTTTTACCTACACAAACAACATACCATTTTATTACCGAGAAATAAGTACTGACAATAATAAAAGTAAAACAATTAAAGGGATTTTGGGTTGCCTCCCAAACAACATCTTAGTTAACATCGCGGTACAACGCAGTAACGCCTTTAGGCGTCTTCCAAATATACCACTTCAACCAACGAAATCTCTTGACAATCTCCCAGATATAATTTTAGACGTTGACCGTTCACTGTAAATGGAGGTCCTTCCTGACCTTTAACTTCTGTGGCGCCATTGATGAACACTCGCGTTACTCGAAATGGTCCAGACCATTTGGATTTGAGCTTTCTAGGGATGAGTCTAAGTCACGAGTTGTATAGCAGAACCTAATCTCCTACCTTGAAGTCTTTCTTGAGTATCCGAGCATCATACCATTTCTTCATCTTCTCTTTATAGATGGTTGAACTTTCATATGACCTGAGTCTAAATTCATACAGTTCGTTCAGCTGCTCTGTTCTCTCCCTTGAAGTTTATGACCAGTCCAAATTTAAAGCTTTCAATGCCCATAATGCTTTTTGTTCTAACTTAACACATAGATGACAAGCCTTACCATAAACCAACTGATATGGAGACATCCCGATAGGTGTTTTGTAAGCAGTCCAATATGCCCATAGTGTATCATCGAGTTTCCTAGACCAATCAGTTCTATTGACATTTACTATCTTGGCCAAGATACTTTTGATTTCCCTATTCGACACTTCGAGTTGGCCACTTGTTTAGGGATGATATGGGGTTGCCATTTTGTGTTTCACCCCATATTTACTCAGTGCCATTGAGAACCACTTATTTCAAAACTGGGATCCCCCATCGCTTATGATTGCTCTCGGAGTGCCAAATCTAGCAAAGAAGTAGCGTTTCAAGAATTCGATGATGCTTTTTCCTTCGATGTTTGGAAGTGCGATGGCTTCCACCCATTTGGAACAAAATCCACAGCCACCAAGATATATTTATTTCCAAATGAACTTACAAATGGGCCCATGAAATCTATCCGCCATACATTGAATAGCTCAACCTCTAAAATAGGAGAGAGAGGTAATTCGTGTCTTCTAGACACTCTTTCTTGGTGCTGACATTTATAGCATTTCTTTACAAACTCATGTGCATCCTTGTAGACTGATGGCCATTAATATCCACTCTGTAGAACTTTAGCGGCGGTGCGACACCACCATGGTTACCTCCCACTGGTGTTGTATGGCACGCAAGGAGAATTTCTACAACTTATTCTTCAGGAACACACCTTCTAATGACATGGTCAACACACTCTCGAAACAAGTATGGCTCATCCCCAAAGTACTTTTTAACATCGAACAAGAGTCTTTTATATTGGTAAAAGGTCAACTCATTCGGCATCAACCCACACACAATGTAATTTGCAAAATCTGCATACCATGGCGTATGTTTGAGGGATATTGCGAACACCCGTTCATCTAGGAAAGAGTCATCTATGTCAACCTCGTGCTCGACATTCTCCCTTGCTTCCAGCCTTGATAAATGGTCAGCCACTTGATTTTTGATCCTTTTCGATCTTTCAACTCGAAATCAAATTCGTGTACTAGTAGTGCCCATCTAATCAATCGTGGTTTTGCATCTTTATTTGCCATCAAATAATAGAGTGCAACATGATCAGTGTGTACGATTACTTTGGTGCCTAGCAAGTACGCCCTGAATTTTTCAAATGCATAGACTACTGCAAGCAACTCTTGTTCAGTGACCGTATAATTTTGTTGGGCACTATTTAGAGTCTTGCTTGCATAGTAGATTGGGTGAAACAGTTTGTTACGCTTCTGCCCCAACATAACCCCTAGTGCCATACGGCTGGCATCACACATTAACTCAAAAGATTCGGACCAATTAGGGTTGATTATGATCAGGATGGATATTCGCTTCTCTTTCAAACATTGAAATGCAACCACACAAGCATCATTAAAGTGGAATTTCACTTCCTTCTCTAGGATTTTGCACAATGGGAGTGCAATCTTTGAGAAGTCTTTGATGAACCTTCTATAAAATCTTGCGTGCCCTAAAAAGCTGCGAACACCCTTTACTAAAATCGGCGGGGGTAATTTCTCAATGACCTCAATATTTGTCTTGTCAACCTCCAACCCCTTTAGTTATACCTTATGCCCATGAACAATATCTTCTTTTTTTTTACCATAAAGTTACATTTCTCCCAATTCAGAACAAGATTCGTTTCGACGCATCTTTGGAGTACTTATCCTAAGTGAGTCAAACATTCTTCGAACGTATCCCCAATGACTGAGAAGTCGTCCATGAACACCTCCATAGAGTCTTCGACCATATCTGCAAAAATAGACAGCATGCAATGCTGAAATGTTGTTGGGGCATTATATAGCCCGAATGACATCTTTTTGAATGTGAAAGTTCCATAAGGGCAAGTAAAAGTGGTTTTCTCTTGGTCTTCCGGTGCAATAGAGATTTGATTGTAGCCAGAGTATCCATTCAAGAAACAGTACCACCCTCTTTCTGATAACTGGTCAAGCATCTGATCCACAAATAGCATCGGAAAATGGTCTTTCTCGGTCCATGAGTTAAGATTTCGGTAGTCCATGCATACTCTCCACCAAGTCACTAGTCTTGTTGGCACAAGTTCTCCTTTTGTATTCAGGACTACAGATATTCCTCCCTTTTTCGGGACACATTGCACCGGACTTACCCACTTAATATCTGCAATAGGGTATATCACCGACGTATCTAGCCACTTGATGATTTCCCTTTTTACCACCTCTTGCATTGGATGGTTTAATCTCCGTTGATGTTCCACACTAGGCTTGCATTCCTTGTCGAGCCGGATTTTGTTAGTGCAGATGCCAGGAGGAATTCCTACTATACCGGCTATTGTTTATCCAATAGCTTTTATGTGCTTCTGCAGTATTTTAATGAGCAATTTCACCTGCCTTTAAAGCAGATTGGCGGCAATAATTATCGGTAGAGTATTATTGGTTTCTAAGAAGGCATATTTGACATGAGAGGGTAGGATTTTGAACTTCAAATTTGGTGGTTCTTCAGTTGATGGTTTAACAGGGGGAATTTCTTTGTTTTTCAGATCGATATCCAATTTGATTGGATTCCTTGAATATGCTCCTAATCCTGATAAAGCAGCTACCGCTTCCTCGTAACCCTAAACTTAAGATTCATCATAAATAGCAAGCACATATTCAAGGGGCTTATTATTGCGCATTAAATGACGCACACTTGCCACTGCCTTATCTATCACATCCTCAGTGGACACCACATGGATGTTACTTGGTTGCTTCATGGACTTAAAGATATTGAAGGTCACCTCATCAACATTCACACAGAACTTCAATTTCCCGCATTCAACATCCACTAGCGCTTTCCCTATAGCTAAGAAAGGCCTTCCCAAAATAATGGGAATTTCAGCATCGATCTCACAGTCTAGAATAACAAAATCAACCGAAAAGATAAACCGATCCACTTTTACTAATATGTCATAGAGTATTCCGACTGGGTGCTTGATTGATCTATCAGCCATGATGAGTCTCATTGTGGTTGCCTTTGGTTCACCCAAACCAAGTTTCTTGTATATTGCATAGGGCATCAAGTTGATACTTGCCCGTAAGTCGCACAAGGCTATAGAAAATTGGAACATGCCAATTGTGCACGGGATTATGAATGCTCTAGGATATTCTCTCTTAGTGATTGAATCATTTGTCATAATTGCACTGCAACTATGGGGCACCTCTATCATTTCATATTCCAAGCTCCTTTTCTTTGTAACCAGTTCTTTCATGAATTTGGCGTATCCCGGCATTTCCAACAATGCTTCTACTAGAGGAAGGTTGATTGATAAGCTTTTGAATACTGACAATTTTTTTTTGAACTTCTCATCTTCATTTTTCTTTTTCAAACGTTGGGGAAATGGTGGAGGTATCTTGGGTAAGGGATTTATGACTTTTGGAACTTGAACTTGTTGATCTGCTTCCTCCTGTGGTTCTTTAGTAAGGCCTTGTTGAATAAGCAAATATTGTTCCTCCATTCCTTTACTCTCTTCATGTTTTTGAGTATCCTCATCTTCCATCATATCCCCTATTGCCACCTTACCACTACGAGTAACCACAACCAGCTCTCTTTCAATATGGTCCATGGGTGTTGTGGATGATAATTGAGCTGATAACACTCAATTAGCCTTCCAGCATTTTGATGGCATCCACATGAGAATTTACTTTGTTGTTCAATGATGAAAAGTCATATTTCATTCCTTTTAGCAGATCATCAGAGCCCTCAACTTTGTCGAGTATGCGTGATAACAACTCATTTACCCGAGGACTACTTGTACTCCCTTTAGATTTTGGCTTTCGCTCAAGTGAATATGGTCCTCCTCATGACCATCCTGCTCAGCCCAATCTTGCCAATATCTCCCTGGTTCTTCTCCTCTATAATAGCTCCAATCTTGATTCCCACCCCGCGGTTAATAACGTGTGTGGAAACCCTCCTCGTATCTTCTGGAGTTCTAACCTTGATTCTTCCCCGGTCATGAGTAACCGGAAGAAGAACCCTCCTCAACTCGAAACACCCCACGTGTCCCCTTCATATGTTCTTGTAGCATTTCCATTTGAGATAACATCTTCTTGATGTTTTCATCCCTTTCCCTTTTTTTTTCGATCTAATCTTGCGTTAATCGGAAGCATAGTGGGGAGACCTGATCATCTTTGGTATACCATGCTTGGTTTACTTTAGTCATACCATCTAGGAGAAATGAGAGTACTTCAAATGATTGTAACATTATTCCTCCTTGAACCAATTGATCAACTATTCATTTATTCACCGAATCCAGACTATAGTAGAAGTATTGGAGCAACAACTCACCTGGTAGCCCATGCGTTAGGCACTTACGCAAAGATCTTTTGAACCTTGTCCATGACTCGTCAATTGGTTCACCCTCCTGTTCCTTGAAATTCTGGATAGCGTCCCTCAGCTTCATCATTCTTGATGGAGGAAAGAATCTTTCGTGAAATACCATAACCAACTCCTCCCATGATCTGATGGAGTTGTTTGGGCGCTCAATCAACCATTTAGTGGCTCCCCCAGTTAACAAAAATGGAAATAAGCGAAACCGTATGTATTCTTGAGATAGGTTCTTGAATGATAAAGGGGTGCACACTTCCACAAAGCTTCTTACATGATTGTGTGGATCTTCATGCTCCAACCCTCCAAATAAACCTCTCGAATGTATGAGTTGGAGTGTTGCATTGGTAACTTCAAACATTGCATTCCCGTCAGCTTGTGATATGCAAGTTTCACCCATCTCGCCCATGCCCGCCGGATGATAAACACTATTAGCATCGTTGATGTCGTCTCAATGAAAAGCACGCTTGGCAGCTATTGTCCCTGTTTGTTCTCATATGGCCTGTTGTGTCACACAAATACTCAAAACAAAAATGAAAACTAAATTAGTAAATTACAACTAAGAAGAGCAAAAATTCTACTAATCTAAAATTTTTCAAATAACACCACTCCCCGGAAATGGCGCCATTTTGATGCTTATCGTGACCAACGACACTAACCTACGGTATGAGTGTCTACGATCGTCGATAGTATAGTAACCCAACTAAAGGTTGGGTGTCGTGTCCCAAGGGAGTGGTTTTGAGAATTGATAGAATAGTAAAATTAAGCTCTAATTAGTCGTAGCTAAAGACATTAACGATTAAAAACATAGTAAATTAAAGGGGGCAACACAAAAGTGTCAAATATTGATTTGGGGGTTTTTTGTCACAAGTAGTAAAAATAGCAAAAATTAACAAGAAAATCAAGTATCACTACTAGAAATTTGAACTACTGTCATGGTTCATTTATCGTTGCAATAGCCTTTCCTACCGTAGCCATAGGTCTAAGGCCATGGTTATGGCAACCGTTACAACAGATCGCGTAGCAATAGAACTTTTGCTACGGTTAGGTGCGACGATTCCCATAACTGTAGCAGTAGATAGACCTATTGCCACGGTTTTCACTTTAATTAATTGCCAACGGTTAGTGTCGTATTGGTACGGTTATGAACCGTTGGCAAAGAGTTTTATGCATCAGTTCTTTTGAGGCTATGGCTATAGATTTTATTTCTATTCAACAACAATTTTATTCTATTGCGACATTTGTTATAGGGTAATGCAGCAGTTTTAAACAATTATAAATGTTGCTCAATGGCTATTGCAATGGTTATTACAGGGTACTGCAACAATTCTTACTTTCTGCAATAGTTACTATTAAGTTATTGCAATGTATATATATTATTGGTGCAGTTCCACAAATATTATACTTTTGAGCTATTGCAGTAATTTTATAACATAAAATACACATAAATCGTTCATGATAAGAAATGTTCATTACCAAATTTATAATTCAAGATCCATGGTTGGCTAATATCAATAAAAGCAAAATATACAAATACCTTTTTACCATTCAAAAAAAGGCGAAACATATGCACCACACTGTTTTCAATCTTCAAAAATAAAAGATTTCTATAACATCAGTAAGTTAACATCAACAATTCAGCTCCTATGTCAAGTCTTCACTACATCTTTCATCTCCTTCTTCGATTTCATCACCTACATACAATTAGAAAAAATATAAATAATTTAGCAATTTTTTCGCAAAAGCTTAATGGATCCACAGCAGTCATATATTACAAAGTTATTACTCTATATATCTAAGACATACATATATAAACTCAATAAACTCAAATAACATTAAACTATATATATGTTATAGCTGTTTGTTTTAGACTATATTATGTACATCTTTCACATTCCTCAAATATGGATGGAATTTTTCTATCTGCAGTTTCTATAGGCTGTTTCAACACACTTTCACTACAAATAATGGAAGCAGTACTAGTATTGAATTGCAAAGGAACTCTTTTTTCTTTGATAGCAATGCCTTCTCAGCAACTGATCCTGAAGACATCAAATCGTCCGAATATTTCCATACACAACTTTTACAAGGCAATGCATTAATCACCAATAATCAAATAACTCAAGATTTATACAATGAAAAATCAAACATACAATTCACAACACAAGGTTCATTGCTATAGAACCAATAACAACAACTTTCTTTACAAACTGCAAACATATACAATAAGCACTCACAGAGAATTCCAAATTCCTTTGGACAGTTTTCATAGACTATTTTTGTGTATGCTTTGAATTGAATGGTTAATACATTATTTCCTATTGAAGTGTTCATTCAAAATGCTTTCCTATTCAACCTTAAAGAATCAGTAGGAAGATTGTGATTATCTGTAAAATAGTCTTAAATCCTTTTGAAGTTTTCACAAACTCTTTCATTGATTTTAACCATTGTACAAGACACATCTCTATCATAATTGGCCTTTTTCATAATTGTACAATTGATGAAAAGCACATAATTCCTTAAATGGTTGTCTATCCTTGTCTTCTGCTGATAGAGATAGTTTCAACTTTTGACAGTCTTTAAGTCATTTCCACTTTCCATAGGGACTAAACTATATATATGTTTTAGCTGTTTGTTTTAGACTATGTTATGTACATCTTTCACATTCTTCAAATATGGACGGAATTTTTCTATCTGCAGTTTCTATAGTGCTGTTTCAGCATACTTTTACTACAAATAAGCTCCACAATTTAGTACATTACCCTTCAAAATAAAAATACAGATGACAGCACATTCACATTTTCATAGTACTTTAGCTTTAATACCATATTTTAGCAAAAATTCTGTAGATTTTAGGACTCTAAAAACTTCACAAAAATAATCTGCCCAATTCAGCATAATTAAATACGCTAAACTTCACATTTGAACACTTTAAATTCACTAAAAAATTTCAGGTGTGTACTCATTTAAGGTAGCAGACAATTAGTGCATTCCGATCCTCAAGTCTGTGAAATAAAACAGGGCATTACTAATTCCTCAAGTCTCTGAACTAAAACTGCCCCATCTTGTTTTTTAAAATCAGTACTTCACGCTATATCTTTCAACACTATCACCAAGAACAGTTCCATTCCATTTATCACAATTTTCTTCCACACCCAAAGAACATACATACTTCACCACACCCTCCACATCACCATCAATAAAAAAAAATGGAGAAGAACATAAAGAAAAAAGAGTCGCAATAGAAAAATAAACAAAGTCGCAACAGAGAAAGAAGAAGAAGAAGAAGAAACAGTCAAAACATAGAATTAGCGACACCAACCTTGCTCAACCCTTTGAACAGAAGTAGATTCTCTTGGTGAAGGAATGGACAATGCTGCCAGTATGTTAGGATCAATTAATCTCGCATGCTTAAGTTGTGCAATTACATCTGCAATAATTTCATGTCTCACTGTTTTCTTTTGTTCCTCCATTTGTTTCTCCATATTCTGCATCCTTTCTTGCATTTAATGCATTCCATCAGTTGTTGCATTTAAAGTTGATTCCAAATTGCCAACTTTTTTTTCAAAGTAGTCTTTGTAACTCCTACTCTACATAGTCTTAGAAGTCCTGAATGTTCAGGACCCATGACGCTTGAAAATGCATCAACATACTCATCATTTATGCTCATTTGTTTTTCAATCTCCTCCATTTCAGCCTACCAAAGCAATTCCAACAAACACAATCTTATGAAATAAATAATTGATCTCAATAAAAAAAAAATGAAAATAGACAGTACTCATACAATTTTACTAGTAGTATTTTCATTCAAAGCCTTGTACAAACGCTCGGGTTTTCTTGTTCTTGTAACCACAAAGAGATCCTTAGATGATACTGTCTCCTTATATTTCTCCTAGTCACATTGAA